TATAAATTCATTTCCGCCAAACTTATCCATAGCCAATCTATATCTGTCCGCATTTGCATTCCTCGCATTTCCCGTCGGCGTCAGACGCTTTATGCCTGGCTTTAGCGACCGGCGGCATCTGAATATTGACACCCTCCACTCCCACCGGTCGTTCCATTGCCACCCCTTCGCAGTCGTCGCTCTGGCTGGCGGCAATCAGCTGTTCGGCTTTGTTCGACAGCTGTCGGCTGCGCTGACGCCACTGCGCCTGCGTCGCTGGAAGTTTGGCGGCGCTGTCACATGTTTTTCGAACAAACTCGGGTACGAACGGACCCGAACAGACACGAGGGCCTCTTCCAGTGTGCCAAAAAGAGCAAAAGCAAGAGGAAGACGCAGCCGAAGACGAGCCGATTTCGCAGTGTGTTAGTGTGTTTTCATGGAAGTGGAGGGGAGGGTGGTGTGACTGCTAGCGGTAACGGGCGCTTAGCGGTAACGGTAACGGTAACCGCAAGAGCAGAGCCCCAGGAGTTGGCGTCGTCGAAGATTCAGAACCAGAGCCAGAACCAGAATTAGAACAACTTGCCCCAGTCAAGACCCAGAGTCAACAGCAGTCCAACAGAAGAGTGGCGAGAAAAATCAGGCTGAAAAGCCACGAAAATTCACAGCACTTTCTATGCGAAATGCTAAAAGGCAGCGCCCGAACCAGCGGCAATCAATCAATTAGGCCCAGCGGGGTGGCGCCCCACCGTAGCTCCACAGAGCTCCAGCAGCAGCAACACGGCCGAAGAGAGCAGACACATCGACAGCAGAAACAGTGGCAGTGACAGAAGTAGAGAGAAAGAGAGATTCAGAGACAGCAGTGACAGCAGTGACAGCAGTTAAAAATCAATATCCGTCTAAAGTTTTTGTCGGTTTCGGAACGGACAACTCAGAAAATTAAAGTTGCCCACTAAACAGAACAGTTGACTTAATACCTATGTAGATAAACGAGATTAACATAAATCCACGCTTTATGATAACGAAAACCGCTTTGTGTTACAAATTAAGACAAGTTATTTGCGAAAGTAATCGTGTGTCCATTTTGTGGTAGGCTTGATTATAGAGTTAAAGAAGTAGTCAACAATTTTAGAGTTGCAGCATTAACTGAAAGAACAATTGCTCCATCCAATGCCAAGTGTGTTAAAAAAGTAAAAACCGATCCGAATAACTAGTGACAAATAATCAGTGCCATCAGCTAAGTTACTCAAAGTTTAACCGAAAGGTAAGTACATCCCGGGGCCAAATGAATAGGCTAATGAGCGGGTAAATGAATGACTGTGTCGTAGGTCAGGGAAAGAGTCGCATGCCATTTGCGTTTCTTGATCAGAAAGGCAGCCTGGGGGCGGGTTTTGCTTTGCATGTTGCATCTATGCACATCCACATCTGCAGCGGCATCGTCTTCTGCATCTCAGGCCTCTGATTTGTGGCGCATCAGGAGCGCCCACCACCAAGGTGTTCGAAATCCGACGCTTGGCTGCCTCCGCGCTCAGCTGAGCGTTACACAAGCACAGTCCGCAGCAAGAGTCAGCTGTTCGTATATCCGAGTCCCCGTCCACAAGGTCCCCCAATCCCCCAACTCCCGAGGCCCGATGGAACAGCCGGCAAGCCGACATGCGCGACGATGAAAAAATCGATGTTCCTCTCTGCCGCTTGTAGCTGGTCGCGATTTCCAGCTAGCGGTTCTGCCGGCGAAAATCAGATGGTCGGTGGGGAAACCCCCCGGTCAGCTCCAGCCCTCTTTTCCAGATGGAGCACAATAGGCATAGTCATTGTTGACCCTTAATACTCACATTTCTCAAATAGAATGGTATTTTGTGACCAGCACTTACCTTTGGAGTACACACAGTATAAGTACATTGCAGTACAGTACATAATTATTTAATTTAATCCAAAATAACACGGAAATAGGGGTAAATATAATTTTGACCAGCTCTTAATTTTAGTTATTATTTACAAGTGAGTAAAAATGAAAAAAGGTTGGATCAAATATTTCATCTCACTTTTTTCCAACTTTTCTGAATATACCTCTACTTCTGATCCTTGGTATATTCTCTAATTACATTTTTTCCCCACTGTGCTGGCATTACCCTAACTATCCTTAAACGATCCTCACCGTGTTTTTCTGAACCGGACTGGAAATTGCGTAATTTCATTAGCGTTAAGCTGTATTCCAGGCGTGCGCCGCGCCGCTTTCCCGCCGCTTTCGTTAGACGAGCGCTTCAGTCTGGGTTTCGGTTCCGTCTCCGGGTCGGGGTCTTTGCGGCTTTCAGTCCCTGTTCTCCGAGTGTCTTGTGCAGTTGATTAGTCGCTAACAGCCGGCGCCAACAGCTGATCACGTGCAAGGGGTCCAGAGTAAGTGCGTCGGGGCAGGATTTTCGCGCATGGCAGGGGAGGTCGCGGCAGCAAAGGCTAAGCGAAAAATCGGCAGTGACTGCTTGAGTACGGGGAAGGGGGGAGGGCGAGTCAGGGCCATAACGATGCCGGTGTCGTAAAGTGCCGGTACGGAGAAACGAAGCGAGGGCCATAACCGCTAACTGGAAACGGCAAGCCAGCGAATCCGAGTCCGGCGAATTGCTGAGGCAACACTCGGCCGCACGAACCAACAAGCCGGCCCCCAACAAAAGAGCACCGAAGTTTGGAATATCCTTGCAAAGCGAGGCATGGTGATAAATAAATGGAACTTACAGTAGGTGGTTATTCTACCTAACTATCGTGTAGGAATTACTACTTGTAAAATGTTTAGCTAGCTAGTAGCAGTATACCCTTAAATATCTGATCCAAAGAGAAAGTGTATAAAACTTGACTTTCTATTTATATTTTTGTCGTGTGCACTTTAGAATTTCAGTCCAGCACTAAAACTGTTTAGGCGAAGTGGAATCAACTCAATATGAAAATACGCCGGAAGTCGTATTTTGACCACAACACCCCTGTCCGAAAGGGTATGTGAACACGAAGAGGCAAGGACTTTCGAGCAGCCCACAGCTGAGTGGAAAAAGAGAAACAGCTATACGGGGAGCGACAGAGAGCGGGTGAGCCTGCGCCCAGCTGGAAGTTCCAACCGCGGCGGCAACGCAAATGGAGTTGCCGACAGCCGACGGCCGAGTGGCGTCGCTGCCTCAGCCGCTGCCCCACTGGCTTCGCTTCGTGGTGCTCGATGGCTCGATTTAAGAATCAGTCGTCGTCGAGCTTTCAAACCGTTTGCAGCGAGCGCCAAAACAGCACCGCCAGGGATTCCAGTCTAGTCCAATCGAGCCACAAACTCCAGCCACAGCCAAGAAGCAGCAGCAAAAGCAAAAGCAGCAAGCAGAATCACCACCCAACGAGAGAGAGAGAGGGAGGGACAGAGACAGAGACAGAGGGGAAAGACAGTCAAAGTAAATTGGCCAGAAAGAAGTTATTTTACTCGCCCAATTCTTTTTTGTGTGGTGTGTGTGGTGTGCCCATCGATTGTGAACCTTTTTTTCTGAGTGCTCTTTTGTTCTGTGTCTTCTTACCGTGATATCATATGTCCAATTGACCTATTGATTCCAGCACTTCCTTACTGGAGTTGCATCGATTATTTCGGGCCCACAGCGATCAAAGGAACTGCTCCCGAAATAGCTGCCCCTTCATTTCCGCACTCAACCGGCGAGTGGGCAGGGGGACGAGGACAAAGCCCCGTTCCGACCCTCCATCCCCATCTCCATCTCCATCTCCGTGTGCGAAATGCCGGCAACTCCAACTCCAAAATCAAAGAAAAAAGAAATAACTGATGAGAATCCGGTGAATGGTGAATCATCAGCAGACCGCGGATACTGCACTTCGTGAAACTCCGGCGCAGTGGAGCGCATCGCTTTTGGCCACGGGCACGCGACCAAACTGCAGTTTCTGGGGCGGGGGGTGTGGGTGGGGGTAAACCTAAAGGATTACGGCAGCCGGGCGACACCAATATTCTTACAAGAAAGGAGTTCGTGTTGGCTGCTTTTTATAGTTTTCGCTTGAAGCCCGGCGAAAATAAAAGAGGGTGACTCCGGCAACGGGGTGGTCTAATGACGTCGCTTTCAGCGTCGTGGTTTCCATCGCCATCGTTTCCATGGAGCGATGACGACATCTTTGTTGCGGGGCGTGTGCATGTTCCTTGGTTTTTTTACATAGGGGTGCATTGGGCCCATTAGTTTGAAGGCCTTGATCTCTAGTTCTATTAAGGAAGCGACAAGTTCGGGATATTCCTATGCTTCTATTACAGACAAACTTGGGTAACTAAAAAAAATATACATATTAAAAAAGTAGTTATTTAATTATGAGAGTCGGGTTAGTAAACTATACCATTTGATGTATTCATAAAAATTGTCCCAACCAAATTGTTTAAATACAAATATATCGCACAGCTTTAAAGAAAGATCCATCTGAAGATTCATTGCCTAAAAATTCGTCAAATTTCATTTCCATTTGGATTGTCAGAATCAATATTTAGTAAAAGTAATAGTGCTTAAGTTCCTTATTAAGGTGATAAAACCTTATGGCTTCAGTGATACTATTTGATTTAAGTACTTGTAAGAGTTCCCACAGAATTGCCCAATTCATTGTTTCCCGACTTTAGCCACCTTGATTTGCGGAATGTGAACGTTGTTGCTGGTTATATGTGAAAGGCGGTCAAAGTTCAATGGATTTTATGTGCTGCACCTCCTGCTGTCCTCCGCCTTTTCCTCCTGTCTGTGGGCCGTCTTTTTATAGTCGCTCCTCCGGCTGTTTTTCTCGCCCGGATGACGGCTGTCTAGCAGCTCCATTTTAAAGCTAAACGGACGAAAGAATGGGGGAACTTCGGAGAGGGCTCCCAGTCATATTCCGATTGACGGGAGTTGGGGGAAGATGGTCCTTCTTATTAATAGTACAGTGTGTATGGCTGAACGGGTGGCAGGTTCGCGTTCGGGTTCGGGTTTGGGGGGCTGGCTCTAGCCGTATATATTCCCTAAGCTAACTTTCAAATTTTTGTTTTCTTGCAGATCCGACGATTGACGAAAAGGGTCGACCAGCAAACGTGGAGAAAGCCAAAACCTAAAGAAAACCGAGAGAAAAACCAAAGAACACTTAAATACAACAAAAATCGAATTTTCATGTTTAAAACGCAAAACCAAAATTATCGATTAACCAATTAAAGAAAAACCAAAGAGACAAAAACCAAAAGTAAAGTAAATTGCTACCAGAAAACGCTAGTCCAAATCTTCACTATATATACGTATACTATATAAATTTAACTAATAATACTTCAAGAGAACACGCCAATTGCAGCAATCGCCAATACTCCAAGTCGAAAAACATAAAATAAAGAGATTTCCATTAAACGAACGCAAAATACCAAATACCAAACACAGCTTCACAGTGTGCACAATAACAAAACTAAAAAAAAAGTTAATAACAAAAACCAAAGAAATACACCCAAACCAAAACCAAGACAAATTATTATTAAACAAAACCGAAAAACAATTAACCAAACAAAGTCGAAGAAAAAACCAAAGGCAAAGAAAACTTTGCCAAAGTCACGATCAGCTAACAAAAAGTACAGCAAACGAACACAATACAAAAAGAACAACAGCGGCGTTTGTGAAGTGAAGCGTCACCACTGGCCACGCCCACCCCCCGCTCAGCCGCCCTCCGTTATAGCAGTTTTTCTTTTTGACAGCGCTCCGTTTCCAAGAAATCTTGCGTGTTCCGAAGAAAACTAACCTGCCAGTGGCGCTGAAATAGTCTCAGAGTGGTCCTTCTTTTTTTTCGAGTGTACGAACTACTTTTTTTTCTGTGTGACCCAAACCGAAGGCGACAACAACTGCAACAATTGTGATGGGAGATCAGCCAAAGGCAACGACAACCGCAACCGCAACCAAAGAAGCAGCAGGTCCAGCCCCTGAAGGAGACGCCGTGATGGCCGCCATCCAGAATTCGCTGACTAATGGAGCAGGGGCCGGCAACGGTGGTCCCCGCCGCAGAACCAGGACCAGGAGCCGGGCCAGCAGGAGCACGAGGCCGGGGAGGCCGGCGACGACGCCACCGATGCCGGGGCCAGCTCGTTGCCCCCCTCGGAGGTGGGGGGCCGGGCGCCCCTGGACACGGCCTGCTCGGATGCCGACGGCGGTGCCGCCTCCAGCTTGGCCGGCGGCATCGTAGGTCCGCCCAGTCCGCTCACTGGCTGCTACCTGCTCATCGTTCTGGGCGAGCCGCACTCCGAGGAGCACAAGGACAACATCTTGCAACATCTACTCAAGGGTAAGTTCAATTTGCACAGTCACGAGTTCATTATAAATGGTAAATCAATCATTTGTGTTTGTATACTGATGCATAGTTTACAGTCACAAAAATAAAATATCCTATAAAACGACCATATTTAGATTTTTATGCGTATATGTTTAAAATGAATGAAGCTACATATGTTTGTCGATTTTCCAATATTTTTTTTGCAATCTTTTTATGGTTTTAAAATAATCGATATTTATATAGTCGTTTTATAGAATAAATCATTTTTTTATACGATAATTTTTAAGGAGAAAGATTGAGTTAAGACTTCCCTTATAAAGTAGTAGTTGCAGTTTAAGTAGCTAAAAATAATTTATAACTATTAGAATCCAGTCAATAGCTAAATTGAAATTAGTTTTTTAACTAAGCCTGAAACTATCTCGCCAAAACTACAACGAAAAACTACTAACAAAAACGATTACACATATGTATACTATATGCAAATTTTTGTTTTGGACCCAATTTTTGCTGAGATGTAATCCCTTATAAAACTTGCGAGCAGAAATTCAAGAATAAGGCATTCACTGCCGTAGTTTTTTTGCTGATTTTTTTGCACTATTTAGTTGGACTGGAAATTTAACAGGCTTTAATTCGTATCAGAAAAGGCCAAGCTTATAAATACATCATGCTATCAAGTGAAATCTTTAACTTCGTATTGGAAAAAATATTAAATAAGGAAAAGGCATTGAATTAAATGCATTTTTGAATGCGAGAGTAGAAAGTCAGGGTATGCAAATGAGGATTGGGAGCCCGTGATTGAATGCTCGTGGCCGTGGTCAAGCCTGGCCGATTCTCGTCGCGTGTCCCGTTCGGGCCATTCGAGGCGGTACAAGTCGGACCCAGTCAGTCTGATTCAGAGCGCAGTGCCCGGTATCGCCCGATCCATTCCATTTCATTCAAGAGCAATCCACCCACTCCGTCCAGCTTCTGCAGTCTTTTCACACTTAGCTGACTGCCGTCGCCTCGTCTGCTTCTGCTTCTAGTAAGCTTTATTGGATGCAGATGGTCGGCGGATGGACGTCCCCTGCTGTTTTCGTGTTCGGATTTCACTTTTCTTCTACAAACCTTCGATGTGTCTGACACAGTTTCTCCGGTTCTAAATAATATTCCACTCGTCGATTGGGAGGGGAGTAATAAACTTTGAAAGAAGGAGTAACCTGCCATCGCCAGAAGTTCCAAGACCCAGAACGACGTTTGAAGCGGTGTTCGCTCTTTGGTTGCAATGTTAATGCGAAATATAAAATGGGATAAATATTAAAGAACCATTTGCAAATATTTCAGCGAACTAGCAAGACCTCTCTAATGTTTAATGTAAACATTTGAACTAGGCTGTGAATAATCTTGGTGAATTAATTTGTACAGTTCCCTACCGTAATATGTCCTTAAACTTACAACTTATATGAAAGTAAGGTTTCTTTCTCTTCAATCCTTGTAAAAACGCTTAGTTTATAATTTAATGCGTTAAGAAAAATGAAAGTGCATACGTTTTGGTTCATTATATAAGGCTTGCTCATGCTAATAAAAGTCCCTGAAGGACTGCCCCTTTCATTAGCTGCAGCCTGTTAATCGAGTTCCCAGGACCCTGTCCTAGTTGCCGTGCTGCCTGCAAAGTTCTGTCCGCAAACTCAATCGGGAATGTCGTTGGTAATTCGATTTCAGCAAATTGCTCATGAAAATATGCAGAGTTGCAATGCGAGAATGCAGTTTAATTAAAATCAAAAGCTCAACCAGACACTGGGAGGCAGGTTAAACAGCGGAAGAATGCTTTCTTTCCGTTGTATTAATTATTTTCATGTTGATTGCATTACACACAGCAACATGGAAACAACAACTGCAGTTGTAATTAAAGGGGCAATTGGGTCGCAGTACAGAGTTTGCCGGCGCGGGCGTAGAAGATACAAGTCCAGTGCGATGAAGACCGGGTCGCATCCCTTATGCAGGTGAAAACCCGGAATGGGAGAATGGAAGTTACGAGGGCAAACACTAACTACCTAATTGGGAATACGGAATTGGGAGTACGGCCGAGGGCATGATTGGCGGACTCAAAATGGTCCCCATCCGGAAATTACAAACACTCGGCAGTGCGGACCGAAAATTAGTCGCCAGCCAGCGGCTAAGGGTTAAGCGGAAGAGGCAGGTGTGGATTATGTGGAGGCTTGGGTGGAGCACACAAAAAATAACACAAGAGATACAAAGCAAAAAATTTGCAATGTTTGCTCAGTTCCGCTGCTTTACACTAAACAAACAGGCCAGTGGCGCCTGAAACAGGGTGGCGCAGTTGTCCCGATGGGCGGAAAAATGTGGTGGCCTTCCTTTTTAATTGATTTCGGAAAAATTGTTGCGGTTGTTCCAACGGAACTCGGGATATACAAAGCAGAAAACAATAAATGGGTTAGAAAACAAATACACGACTTAGGTTCCGTGGAGGAGGGCAAGAGGCTTTAGGTTTTGGTTCCCTTACAATTAACATTAATAATGGAAATTCTTTAATAAATGTTGGTTTTGTCGTCTTTCGCTGGCATCGGTGTTGTTAGCATCGCCAAGTGGTCACTTCACTTTACTTTTACCAAATTTGGTTATTTTTTAATTAACTTATAAATAAATCAATAAAAAGTGGGCAAAACTCAAGGCCGGCTATTCCAAAGGGCGAAGAATCACATAACATTATTATGACAACTGTTGTCGAAAAAGAGCAAAAACAAATGGCGATAGGCGTGGCTCAAATATGTGTGTAGGCACAATAATCGATCAAAAAAAGGGGGCAGACAGGGCAGAGACGGAAAAAGAGGCCCAACCCGAAAAAGAATCGTGACGAGCCTCGATTTTGTTGATATTTGTAGACAGCCCAGCCGGAAAGGAAAAGGCTGTCGGAGGAGTGAACTTTTAGATTTCGTGACAATTGGGCCGGGATATGAGAGCTGAACGCGAAACAGGATGACGCCGACAACAGCTGTCCCTTCTGCAGACCCATAAACATGGTACGTGACCCTCTTGCAACCCGCAAGTAACTGGACACATTCAACGGACAACAAAGTCGCGCTGACAATGCAATGACAGCAATTTCAGCTGCGCTTGCTGTGGGGCAGGGGATGAACAAACTGCTGACAGACAGTCCGACCACTGAGCCAACTAAACCACTCGATCCCGAAAGTGTGCTGCGGCAAAAGATTTAACTTTGCCTGGGTGAGTACTATGCGCTGGGATCTTGTCGAGTACGTGGATTACCGGCGAGAAAGAAAGGTTTTTACCCAGTTTTCCGCATAAGAGAGTGGAATGTGTGACGCTCTCAAGCGAATGCCCTCAAACGATTGCTATAAATGAGATTGTTTCCAACAAACAATAAACAGTATGCGCAATACTCCATCTAAGGGACCAAAAATTAAACAAAATCAAAATCTGCCTGTAATAAATGATCCCCAAGCTGAATGGAAAAAAATATCCGTTTCTTAAAGTTTACCCTGCTTTCAACAGGGCCATTGCGGCGTATACGCAATAATCGATTCTGAGTAGAAAAAGCGTCCGGAAAGCAGGGTTGAGGGGTTTGGCGGAGGTCTGTGGTTGACCCGAACCACACTTGCGTCATCAATCAGCACGCAGGCAGACCCACCCAAACACATAGAAGGGAGGGAGGGAGGACATTAAAAATGCTTTTATTGCAAATTAATTGCTTTGAAGTGCATTGGAGGCCACTCACACACCCCGGTCCTCTTTCGCATGGGCACAGATCATGTGACGCACCCGTGGTCAGCCGCAGACCACGCCCAAACCGGACCTTTGACCTCTGCTCTGTTTTGGGTCGAATCATGTTACTTTCGTGCCACTTTAATTAGTTTTCGTCAGTTGGTTTTGTTTTAGTTAGAGTTTCGTGATGAGCATGTCATCAAATTTGCAATTTAATTTTTCATTATTCTAATGAGAAAGTGTAGAGAAAAACTGAATACTTTGGTATCAACTTCCCAGTCGAACAAGGATTTTGACGGGACATATTTTAATAAGAACCTAACTGCTTATTAATGGCCCAGTCCACAGTCACAGCCCACTGGACCACAAATTGAAAAGTTGCATGCAAAACTTATGAGCTCAAAACGTTCGGGAGGGGAAGGGCTAGTAGGTGAAAAGTGTCGTCCGTGGAGTCCTGCACCACCCCATCCACACAGTCCACCTATCAATTCCGCATCTGATCCGAAAACACTTTTTGGCTAAAGGAGGTAGAAAACGAAACCCATTTCCGAGCGGTAATTTCATGAATTTTCTCAAGTGCCTTGGCAATGCTGTAAAGAAAGTAGTGTTCCCATAACCCCCTTAATCCCTTTCCTCGTGTGCAGTGTGTGTTGTACACTCAAGTAAGTTTAGTCTTGTGCGGGTATGAAGTTTCATGGCGTTCTTTGCGAAAGGTGGTCTTCGAGGAAGAAAACTGAGTTGGACCCGGAGATACCCTCTATGTGTTGCCGCTTGGCAGGCATTTTGCTTACAACTGCAAAGGAAAGCGAAAAGTTGGACTGCAAAACGGGCCGCTCCCTGCCATGGTCAGCCATAAAAATTGCTTATCTCGTTACATTTAAAGTGAAATACAATTCGGCTAATGCAATTGGCACACGAACGAGACGCAGGACTAGCAAATAGGCGCTGGAATGTGGGAAAACAGCAGGAGATTCGTGTGTACACACTTACGTAACTAAAGCCATTCGTTTTGATTAACGTCGTTCTCATGGCTGCAAAATGTTTTTACGACCCGCAAGCCTGAGTAAGGAAAAAGAAAACAAAAAGGATAGCAGCAAACTTCGGCAAGCTAAAGTTCAAAAACCCTTGCAGTTGTTACAATAATAAAATATTCTATATTTCGATTTCGATGCTTAAAAACAATGAAGCTAGGTCGTATTTCTGAAATTGCTAAACGATCCTATATCTCAGAGTATTTGGATATATGTTAAGAATCAACGATGTAATAATTTTCTTTTCTTCTTTTTCTTGAT